TAGCTTTGGCTCTGTTTCATAAAACTTTGCTAATAAAATCTATCTTTTAAGAAGTCACATATCACTCCTCATTGAGTAAAAGAAAAGTGATTTTTTAAAGACCACTGAACTTTAAGTAAATTCTCATAATTTGGACAGGAATTGATTCTGTACATAGCTCTACATGCTTGGAAACTTCTAATACTTACATTTACATACTAGAATATATGGTCGTATAGACAAATTGCAGTCTTGGGAGTTATAAGAAATCTCAGGTGGTAAATATGATCAAGATATTAAATATACATATTGACATTTTCAAAAAGTCAATAAAATATTATTTTAAACATAAATGAATCAGTGAACATATCAACACATCAAACGTATTGAAAATCCAGTAAATAATCCAAGTGGGGTAGCATGATTCAACGACTCCCAGAGGTACTCTGCCATGTTCAACATGATATTGCACCATGTATATGATCATTATGAAGCTGTAGCCATAACACCCACATTCCTGTCAGGAGAATGTTACACAGTGGGTATAACAGAGAGACCAGTCTGTTACAGTCAGCTATACTGAAATTGCAGGACATGTGTTATGACGTCCAACAAACCCTATCCAGACCAGCTGGGAAATGTTCTCTTCAGTTGGGGCATCTTTATATCCACCTGAAACCAGAAGTTATAACTCTAAGAACAAGAGCAAATTAGATATTAGAAGGGAAAACATCACCTGACACACTCAGGTTTTAAGTCATACACTATCATCACCAGTAACTAGATCTCCCAGTTACAAGTTGAATGACATGGGTCATAGTTAATTGATTTGAGTCTTAACTATGCCACTTCTAAAACTGGAGATTTTATGCTTATCCCCACAAATTATTTCAATGACTAAATAAAATAGTGCTTTCAAACTGTCTTTTACTGTGTATGACATATACTTTGCACTAAATAGATAATAAGGTGAAGCATTAGGGAAATGTTCCTCACAGTAATCTTTCTATTTATACATTGCTTGGGTACTTTGTACAGATTTTGATGGAGTATGAAGGATCAAGTCTGAATTTTTTAGTAAGGCAGTTGCAATGTTTGATGATGGAAGAAATTGAGCAGAAGAGTGCTGTTAGAATGTATAATGAAGTCTCAACTCATTTCCCCTTTCAGAGAAATAGCTGTATTAATGAAAACAAATATACCTAACATGTTAGTAAAAGCATGTATGTATATCAACACCGCATAGTTTATCTATTACTTCAAAAGCAATAGTGATATAATAACCTTCAAGTTCTTCAAATTTATCAATTTAAGCCCAGGCAGACTTGCAGTCTTTTCAAAGCTCGCAGAGTTAAACGGTTGATTTGACAAGAGGTATAGCAAGTGGCGTTTGACTGCTGATAGCACTGAATACACTCAGCTCCATGACTTGCCTGGTCTAGCTTCAAGTCATGAGTCCTTTCACCCAAACTCATTTAACTGAAGTTAATGATCGATGTGAAGGCACAGGGCAACGAACACCTGGAAAAAAATGGAATATCATTTTCATTTTCACCATAGCCTTCCTACTGACAAAAATACGATGGATTTAAATTTAGACAGTTCCCTGTAACAAAATGATTTGAACAGATGTCAAATTAAGCAATTAAATTCCTGTAAACCTGCGTTGATATTGGACTGAAAAGAATGACTTTGTTCTCTGTCATGCCTGAAAGTATGAGCAGAAGAATATGACTGCACGACACTTCTCTTAAATAAGGTAAAATCATTAGCCTTCACACAAAATATTAAATGCTTTGATACATGCCCAAAGATAATTGGAGTTAAAGGAAAGTTTAGGGAAGGGAAAACCTGCAATGTTCTATTAAATGACTGAATAAAATTTTACATGACAAATAACGTAAAATTCGGGGAAAGCAAAATACAAAACTATCATTTTTATCAAGGATATAGTTTTCTCAAAAGCCTTTTCAAATCTCTTTTATGTATCTATAACCTACCAACATGCAATCAACTGCCACAAAGAAACTAGGAAGATGTCTTCAATGTATTCTACTTATGCACATGACTGATGGGTAGGGTTCTGGATAAGAAGAGTTCTTAATATTTGAAGATGTTAAAGGAGAACTATTAACTATGCAAATGGCCTTTTAGTGTGTGTGTGTGTGTGTGTGTGTGTGTGCATGTGCGTGTGTACCTCTGTATCTGTGTGTGCATGTTATGTAATAAGACAAAAATTTAAATTTAAATGTTAATATAAACATGAATACCTGGGCTGAAGAGATGGTACACTGAGTAAAGACATTGGCCCCGAAACCTAGTGACCTCAGTTCAATTCTGAGGACTCCTATGATAGAAAAGAGCTGACTCTTATAAATTTTCCTCTGACCTCTGCATGAGCACAAGAGCACAGGAATATAAACACAAACACAGACACACACACAGAAAAAAACATATAAATAAAATTAATAAATATAGTAAAACTATAATTAGTGATGATATAAAGAGGATACGCCAAAGTTATACAATAACATTATTAAATGATTGAAAGCATATTTATGAATTAAATGAAACGTGACCACACTGTAGGGTTTTTGGTTAGACTGTAAAAGTTTCATACAAAAAAATCAAAGATATTTCTTTAACATACAAAATTCTCCCTCAGTCACTGTCCATGCTGCTGCAGATGATGACAAGATTATTGGAGGCTACACCTGTCAGCCGAATTCCCTCCCTTACCAGGTGTCCTTGAATAATGGCATCCATCAATGTGGTGGCACCCTCATCAATAATCAGTGGGTATTGACTGCAGCTCACTGCCTTATGAGGTAAGTGGACAACAGTCAAAACGCTGTATTCTAAGGTCAATCTATACTCTAGCATCACCTCTCAGGGGATGACCTTCTGTGACTCTATACCAGCAGGATGTTACCTAAGAGATACCCTATCCTGTACCATGGGTGGTAGGCACAGATTACCTCAAGTACACAGTTACATACAGGACTAAGTACTTAAAGAAGATGATGTTTGTGTTTACCCTCCTGACTTTGGGCTCGGGGGAGAGAAAGCTCAATTTGGATAACTTAGAATTCTTTAATTCTTTAATGCAGTGGGCTCCAGGTGCGTTTGGGAGAACACAACATTGATGTCCTTGAGGGTGGTGAGCAGTTCATTAGTCCAGCCAAGCTCATCCCCCATCCCAAGTACAATGGAAACACCTATGATAACGACATCATGCTGATTAAACTGAAGTCACCGGCCACCCTCAACTCGCGCGTGTCCACGATATCTCTGCCCAAATCCTGTCCAACAGCTGGTGCTCAATGCCTTGTGTCTGGTTGGGGAAACTTGGGTGGTAAGTGTCAATGAGACATGAGTTCCAAGTGTTGTAAAATACTAAAGATTAAAGGCATGTCTGGTTGGGAAATGTGTATGGCTTGAGTTTGCTCTGGTTGGGAGTACAAAAAAGGAGGAGTAATAAACAAAGCAGAGGGACCCTGGGGAGCTGGGAACCTCATGTCCCCCTGACAGGTGCAAAGAACAGACCTAGCATCTGTGAAGGGAGAGACCAGTTGCTTAGGCACAAGGAGGCGGGAAATTAAAGCACTCAGAGGCTAGGGTTAGGGCTATTGCTTGGCCTAGGGTTAACGATAGTTTTAGGGCTAGGGCTAGAGCTAGGGGTAAGACTAGGGTTACGTCTAGGGTTAGGTCTAGGGTTACATCTAGGGTGAGGACTAGGTATAAAGGTAGGTTTAGGGCTCGGGCTACAGTTATGGCTATGGTTAGAACTAGTACTAGTTTTAGAGCTCAGGGTAGGATTAGTGAAATGGTGGTTTGCTTGTCCAAATTCTCACTCAAGGGACCCAGAGGAGAATTTTACATTTAGGGCATCTTGGAACATGTTAATTGAGGTATGGGGTGTTGCTTTCTTGAGACCACATAGAAGACAAAACAAAACTGAACTATAAGCAAGATGCCAAAATATTTTAATGAAGAGTGACTAGTGGTGTGAAGGGAGTTGAAAAATTGAGAGGCCAATAGATTAGTTGCTAAAGGATTTGGTGCCCCCTAAAGTATCTACCTGCTTGAACAAGTAAGTCTGTGGATTTGAACATCTCTGGACACTTCAGAGGAAGAACAACTGGGTTGTCACTACTACTTATAAAAACTTACACAAATAAATCTCTTCTAAATTATAAAGCTTTGGCAAATTAGATTATTGATTTGGGCTGCTGTAAAATCAGAGCAGCTGGATTTAGATGGAAATTTATAGAAATGTATTGAGTGATCTTTCTTTTTCACTCTGGCTTTCACCAGGTTCATACCCTGCACTTCTCCAGTGTCTGAATGCTCCTGTGCTCTCTGACTCCACATGCAAAAACTCCTACCCAGGCAAGATCACCAGCAACATGTTCTGCTTGGGCTTCCTGGAGGGGGGCAAGGACTCCTGTGATGTAAGTATCTTTGTGCTCTCTTTCCTCTCTCTCCCCACCCCTAGGATATTTTTTCCTTTAGTGAAAAGATTTGGAAATTGTCTGAAAGGTTTCATTTGGTTTGAGAAAAAGCCCTATGAGTTAATGACGGTTTTCTTGGGATGGTCATGTCAAGATCAGGTTAAAAAGATACACAGGAAATTGTATGTGAGCAGTAAATAAAGGTCCCTTTCTGAGGAGCCGTGTTGTAGGATGGAACCACGTGAAAGGGACAGAGCAAGTACGATGGCTCTAAGTATATCCATTTCTCACCTTTTCTTGGCCTTCCATGCCAAATAAGGAAAGACAAGCATTAACAAAGGACTAACAAGAAAAAGGACAGAGTATGGGAAAATTGCAAGGAATTTCCAGGGAGTGAGGATTGCTTCACAAGTGCCAATATCTGCTAGAATGGCCCTGTGAATGGGGAGGCACCTTGAAAACCATTCTCCCAGAGTCACATGAGCGAATTGTAGCTGTGTTTTCTTTCTTAACCAGGGTGACTCTGGAGGTCCTGTGGTCTGCAATGGAGTGGTCCAGGGTATTGTATCCTGGGGTACAGGCTGTGCTTTGAGAGGGAAGCCTGGTGTCTACACTAAGGTGTGCAACTACCTGAGCTGGATTCAGCAGACAATTGCTGAAAACTGAGCATGTTTATACTTCAAAAATTACCAGATAGTTCTAGTTTATTTTCTTCCTATGCCTGATATAAGCATTAAATAAAAATATTTTCTTCTGCTTCATGCTTGTCCAAGTATGATCCTTGCTTAGGGTTGGTGTTAAATGAGAGCATGGAGAAAGGGCTGAATTGTTTTATAGGTAAAATTGGAAATAATATTTCATCTTTCATTAGCATAATAACAACTTTCTGATCTCATTGCAAAGGGTGTGAGACATGAATAATGTAATGG